GAGTATCGTTCCTAACCTATCTTTCTCTCGACCATGTGCAATTTTAACACAGACACTCACTACATTGTCCGTTGGCACGAACACAATCCGATGTCAAGGATTGCAACATCTAGCTAATGCGCTCAGAAACAATAAGGTGAACATACTTCTCTAATAATATTTTTCCTTCATCATCTGTACTTTCCATGCAGGTGCTCACCGAACTGAATCTTAAGAACAATCAAATCAGAGATCTTGGTGCACAACATCTCGCTGACGCTCTTAGAAACAATAGGGTAAACACAATTATCTACTAATTTCTTTCTTCATCATCTATACTTTTCATATAGAAGCTCATCAAACTCAATCTTGACAATAATGAAATCGGAAATAAAGGCACTCAACATCTCGCCGACGCTCTTAGAAACAACTACGTAACCATTATTATCTATTTATCTATCTTGATGATTTTTTTCTTATTTTTCTACAGAACTTCATCACAATTTCCTTTCAAAACAATCGAATCGGACCAATTGGTGCGCAACATCTAGCCATCTTTCTCACAAAGAACATAGTAAACAATCTTTTCTACCCATATCTCTGTTTCTCGTCATCATTTGTACATTTCATATCACAGCTCATTGAACTCAATCTTGACAGGAATGAAATCGGAGATGAAGGCGCCCGACATCTTGCCAATGCTCTCAAAACCAACACGGTAAACACTATTACCTGTTCATTTCTCTCTGTACCATCTACAGTTTTCGCATAGAGATTAAGAATACTTGATCTTTCGGACAATAAAATCGGGAACACAGTGGCAGAGCATCTCGCCGATGCTCTTATAAACAACACGGTAAATACTAGTCTGTAAGCATATCTCTCTTTATAAACTGTGCTTTTTTTTATACAGACACTCATTGAACTCTACCTTGAAGGCAATCAAATTGGACCAGATGGCGCAAAACATTTCGCGAATGCTCTTATACAAAACAATGTGAGAGCCTTGTTTTTTTCTATTCACTTTTGTCTCTTGATGATCTGTACTTTCTTACACAGACACTGAACATATTCAGCTTGTCGCATAATCGAATCGGAGATCAAGGGGCACAACGTCTTGCTACTGCTTTAACAAACAACACGGTACACAACAATCTTTATTCAGTTCTTTTTTTTTTAATTACTTGCACTTTTCAAACAGGGACTGACAAGGATAAATTTGACGTGCAATGATATTGGATATGACGGTGCGCAACATCTGATCAATGGTCTTCATTTAAACAAGGTAAGATTTTTTTTTTATGCTTTTCTGCCTTCAAGACTTATGCCATATTTTCTTTTTCTGTCACGTAGACGCTGGAACTTTTATTTATGGTGAAAAACAATCTTTCCTGGAACGACGAAATTGAATATTTGTGCAAGCAAGAATATCGAATAGCGTGGTGACAGAAAGTACTATTGTGAGTTGTTAGAAAATAATGATTGTTACACTATTGTGAAGTTTTGAAAAATAATGATTGCTATACGTGCGTGTGGCTCTTGAAATAATTCTCAGAAGCAGTGGCGAATTTCCAACAAAGAGAAATCGATTGATTATATCAAATTAAAATTACTCTAAAGTCACATCAATGAATATCAAAATCATCTAAAATCAGTTTGACTTAATTATGTATTACAATTCAAAATATTTTAAAGTGCTGTTAGATTTTCGTTAATTTCCGTAGTTTATCTAACTTATCAAAGATTTTTTTAATTGTGGCGATCTTTAAATATTTGAGGAAGTAAAAACTAACATAAAAATCTTCGTTGTTCATCATCTTAATTGATGCATTGTATCGATGTTTCCTCGATTGAGTTCAGTGTTTATGTCTATTTCCCTGAGATTCTTTCGTTTTTTGACCTCCTTAAAGTTTGTAAGATAAAACTAAGTATTATTCATATGCAACTACAGCGCATTCATATATACCTATATATATACTGGATTTTATTGTAAAATACTTTAAACTTCGCTAGTTATCTTTCAAAGGTGATTCAATTTTAAAGCTAACTCTGACATATATACATATGAAACGTGTGTCAACCGTGAGAGAATACAAGAATCTAACTCATTCACTAGATGACAGTAGTATTCCTATAATCGGGTGTGGGTTAGTGGATGTGAATATCAGACATTTTTTACCCATATACACAATCAAAATTGTGGAATACTGTTGATGATAAGTAGAAAAGACAAAAAACGAAAAATATAAATCAAAGAAGATTAGATGCAAAAAATAATACCTCAATATTTTGAGACATTCTTAGTTTCGATTGAAATCTATACAAAGAATTTTAACTGTAGTTTCTTGTTTTCTTTTTTTCTCGATACAAAGAATAAAATCTAATCGTACGATTATTTATTTTTGTTACACCAACCTTAAGAGTTGGTGATGAGACTTGCTAAAGAATTAACTATATTATGCTGCGTTACCATCACTACCATTTCGAAAACTGATCTGCTTACGCATCTGAAGCAATGATTCATCATTGGAAACTATCCATATCTTTCAATGACAAATCAACATACCGAGTCAAAAGTTAATTAATCATAGTTATTGATAATTTTCTTTCCTGTTTATCGTTAATAAAGTTTTATTTTTCCACGTGAGAGTACTCGGGGTGTGGGTGGGTGTGGGGTGTGGGTGTAGGGTGGGGTGTGGGTGTGGGTGCGGGTGTCGGTGTGTGTGTAGGTGTGGGGAGTGGCTGTGGGTGTGGGTGTGGAACAAGATGTGAATCCACTGTTACCCCACACCCACCCACACCCACACCCACACCCACATCCACCCACACCCCATATATCAAGATGACGACAATGAAATATCATTTGATCGCATCTTCTTGATTGCGGACGTTTTTCCTTAACTGGTGCCCAAAAATGCCCGCAAAATAAAATGGAGGGGACAGACGAAAATATCCGCACACTGGAAAGTGTTTGCAAGATGAAATTGGGGGAGAGAGACAAAACCGTCCGCATTATGGAAAGTAACGAATATAGATCTAGTACGATGATCAATGTGGCTAGTTCGATTTTAAGGTGTATATTCCATCTTTCAAGAGCGTGTGGAATGTCACGTGGTGTTCAGGTCATTTTTCGTCCAGTGTGGAAGAAAGTACATTAAGTAATAGAGATATAGTTAGATAAATTAAATAAAAATATCGATTGTCAACGATAATACATTTTTTCCACTTGTAACACAATCGAACGCTTCAACGATAGTCCGGGTTAAGCCAGAGCAAGCGCAACAATGATCAATACTTTTTATAAATGTTACATCCATAGCAAATGAAAATATTTTGATTCAAGCTAAACAAGAATATTTAGATGGTCGTTTAGATCTTGAAGGTTCTCAAAAACAATTACGCTCACTTTTTTATCGCTACAACAACGTATTCAAAAACATATGGCAAGGCTATTCTTGATTTTGAACCTAAACAAAATTAGATATTTTTTGTCTTTCATTATGAATTTCTTCTATATTTGTTCCTCATTTAATAAAATTTGCCTCAATTCTATAATGCGGTTACTTTTATGTCTCTTTCTCCGATTCTGCTTTGCGGACACTTTTCCTTAATTAGTAATTAAAAGTATCCGCAATCAAGAATGAGCCGATTTAATATATTAATACAAGAAATAGAATAAAATGAAAATGATAGTAAAATTTTTGAATTGATCTAAAATATAAACACATAAAACAAGAATAATTCAGGTAAATGAGATGTCTCATCATTATCGGAAAGATAAAATAAAAGAGTGTGAGTGTGTGGATCTATATCATTCACTTAGATGCTCCTATACTCACATTCTATGCGATCTTTCTTCCTTATATCATACAATTAGATAGCATCTTTTCAATGGTTCTCTATTGTGCACATCATATAGACAAGTAAATAAATGAATCAGCGTTTATCATTATCTATTCTTCTTTTATGTTTCTATTGTTTTGAGATAAAAAATATGGTTTCTATTTTAAATATAAAATTAATAAACAACAAGATCAACATGATTGGTGATTTGTGTATGAGGAAACAGAGAGTATCGTTTTGATGAATAGACCGTATTGAAAACTGTCTTTTGATAATAGTTTATAGAAAAGAAACTGATTTTTAATTAGATCACAAAATCATAAGTCTTTCTCATTGTTCATACACTGTTGGGATTTACTCGAAAAAAATAAGATCAAATAATTCATTTTAATACCCACAAGAATGTGGATATGACTGTGTGATGAGTATTTACTTATAATGAGCATCAATACTCACATCTTCAAGATAAAAAAAATCGACTATAGAGATGTTTTTCTGAATTTGTCCAAGTTGAATTTCTTTTTTAAGAAAAATTCTCGATAATTTCCAATGTCTTCATCTCCAAGATCTTTTTCCGTCAAAATTTATAAAATATCATTAGTTTTTGAACAATAAACTCAGTAAAATTAAGATCAAAATCAAAAAGCATGTAGGTGTGGATGAAATAGTGGACTAATCTTTACAACCACGTCTCACTCACACTGACATTTACACTCATACTCTTAATCTCAAATTGATATTGTATATTTTCATCATTATCAAAAATATTCTCGACCTCAGCGAACCCATAATCGCACAGATCTTATAGGTCTATATTGTTCATTCATGATCAAATCTTTGTTCTTTGAAATTAGACATGTGCGAGGTAAACGATCTTGTAACCATCGAATGAGTTCGTCTTCTTCCAAAATTGTACATTGACTCCTGTCTGTAGACCACGTATCATCTCGACAGATGACATTCAATGCTCGTAAATGGATCATAGAATTAATTAATTCAAGGATACTTGGTCGATGTTCCACAGCAATCATTAAAACTTGGCATTGACGACCGATTGGTGATTTGCTTAACATTTTACAATGTTCAGTATTATAATAATGATTAACATTCTGTAAATTCAGTCGATAGATCGCTTTATGTACATATTCATAGGGTGGCATCAAAGAACACATTGATGACTATTCATTGAATTGTAAGGACGTAAGGTGAGGCATTCGATCAAGTAGATCTTGAAATTGAGATGAAGTGAATGATACATGTTTGGTGTTATAGTCAGTGATACGAATGGAAACTAGTCGATTGAATTTTGTGATGATAGCAAATAAATTTGTATCGAAAGGAAAATCTAAATCGATATAATGTAATTGAGAAAAACGAAAACATGGCAATATATCACCAATCAATGGAGATGTTGCAAGTGATAAACGTTGAACTCGATCATAAGATGACACATCATCGTCATACCTACAAGTTGATTTTGAGCAGAATTTCATGTCATGAATAAAATAATCTTCGAACGCATAGGGTAGTGTATAGAGATACAAATTGTTATTGTCACATTCTTCACATCGATTCCATTCACATCGAACAAACCATTGATGTTTTTCAAGCCAAAACGATGTTCGAAATGAATTCAATAAATTATCCGCATGTTGTTTCTTGTTATCATTATTGTTTAAACGAAATATCATCATTAATTTAAAAACTTGTAAATCAGGCAAATGATCAACAATGATTGTTTGCCAGTCATATCCATTCATCTTGATTTGATCGGTTTTTACGATTAACAAACGTAAATTGGCTGAATTTCGCAGAAGATTCATCATTGTCGACTGTGAACCATTTTCAAATAATTGTAATGTGGTTAAATATTGTAGTGAAAATGTAGATGGTTGATTTGATGTATTATCATTGATTAATATCGATAGGTAGCGAAGTAATGGTGAGTGTTTCAATAGATTAGTGAGTTGATTGAGGGAATATGAATAAGATTCAATTGACAATGATTGAAGTGTTGTCGAAATTATGAATGGTACAATAATTAATGACCTATTGAATAGAGATATATCCATGTGACAATGTGTGAGATATGTTAAACGCCAAATATCATTGAGAGCATGAATAATAGTTTCATATTCTGTTCGAAAATAGCAATCAATAAAATTAAGACGGTTTAAACTAGATAAGAAATGGCATTCCATCAATATTTTACATAGAAGTTTAGATGAACGTAGATGATTTAAGGTTAATGATCGCAATGCATTGAAATAACGAATCGGTATATTATATGAAATATAGCAACGAATTTGATCTGGTGTTCTATCATCATCGGAAAAATAAATAGATAAAATTCGATCGGTAATATGTGGTAAATATTGGTGAGAAATAGTGTCAAAATCATGTTTTGAAATCGATCGCAAATCGAGATGATATTTATGAAAATATTTAAAGAGAAGCGTATGGAAATGAGTATTGAGACCAGCAAAAGCACGAAATAGATCAGTAATTGATAAATATTCGAAAAGATCGAGTAATAATTCGTTAGCCAATCATTCCAAACTCGTAAATCAGTGTCTTGATAAAGAAAGTTCACAGCGCTATAACAATTCAATGGAATATTACATATAACTTTGAAATAAGTTGTAAATCATGCATTTGTTTTATGCTTTGAAATGCAATTACATCTGCATATCTCTTGCTTTTATCTCAAAGCTGTCACAACTACTTTTATCACATTTTATATTTTATCATTAAATTTTAAAGTCAATACATTGTGGATATTAGAAGAAAACAGAAATATGATACGTGAAAATATTTGTCAAAACAATATATCTGCCACGTGTTTAACATTAAAAACAAAATTCGATGCATTTCAACGATAAAATAAATTATTCAGATAGTACCATTATCGGACACATGTTTCATTCAACACTTAAGACAGCCTGATAAAAAATTGCTGTATCATTTTTACTAATGTATCAACAGTTCCTCAATATGAAAACAAAATGAAATTTTCTTTTCAATAAACTCATGTAAAAAAAGTTACTTAGGGCATACCAAAAGTATTAGTGGAGGTTCGGTAATTCTTTATAAGAATCTTTAAGAAACTTTCTCTCTACATAGTCTGATAGAAAAAAGAATGCTCTATTTTTCAATGTCATTTGATCATACTTCAACTAATATCATAATAATAAAATCTCGATAGTATCTATTTTGTTTGCATCTGCTACATATTAACGCACATTTTTCAAAAAAAAGGCAGATGAATAGCTTTTGACAGAAACAAGATGGACAACTGTGGTTTTCACCGTTAGAAAGAAGAGATGAAAATGCAATGAATCGAATATTACAGATTATCTTGCTTTGCTTTTTGTGAAGTTTTTCAATTGATCTTTTTTTTTAGAAAAAAATCTATCTGGTAAGTTGTTTACAGCGAATTCTCAATTATCAACTATAGATTCAAACCACTAATCGAAGATCTACAAACTGTGGAAGACTGAGATAAATAATATGTATTGTAGTCGAGCCTTTGAATACGATTTTCTAGCAATTTCGATGAAAAAAGCGCACTTTTCCCTTTTTTTCTTAAAAACATTTTCCTGATAGTTAGAAAATTGAATAAAAATACTTCAGAAATCAATATGAGAAAAATTTGTAATGATGATTCGATGCATATTTATTTCTTCTTTCTAACGGTAAAAATCGCAGTTCTCCATCTTATTCCTATCAAAAGTTATTGAAAAAAATACTCGCTAGCATTCATGTTGACGTGACGCATGCAAACAAAATAGATACGATCTAAATTTTATTATTATGATCAAATAACATAAAAAAATAGAGCATTCTTTTCACTATCAAACCATCTCGAGAGAAATTTTCTTAAAAATTCTTATAAGGAATTACCAAACCCCGTCACTACTTTTGGTATGCGTTAAGTATTTTTGCGTTACGTTTTTTTTACATGAGCAAATGCTGAAAAGATCGAACTTTGGCTCAACCTAATTGTAAAATATTCACATCACGAGCGAAGGTATCTTCTGGTTTAGAAAATTTTCGTCTTTTCAAAGTTTTCCTAAACGTCTATATATTCGAAACATCTTTGAAAAATATAAAAATTTATTTTTCTTTACGACTTTTGAAACACTTTGAATTTCATAAGATTTAATTGATTCGTTAGTTATATAATTCTTCTTGATGTAATATTCACACAAGTAATAAGCAGTTCATAATTTGAAATTAAAATCAAATACTTAATTTACCAAGCTTTCAATAAATAATTAATAGAATATTGTGATTATTTCGATTATGTAAATTCAACAAATAACAATATTTTACTGTAAATATCTTGTTTTATTGACAAGTCTCCGTAAGTCAATAAACTTATGAAAATTATCTTTTCTTTAGTTTAATTTTGATTTTTAATTTCTAACTTTGAATTTTACAATAATTGTTATCCCTCAAGTTATTGCCACACAGAATATCTAGTTCTACTATTGATTCGCAAGAAAATAACGATTAAATATGCTTTCTACTGAGCTTTAATCAAAAGAAAAAGGCCTATCAGTAGTTGTCATATATATTTATACAAGTGAATTCATCATATTTATCTCGTTTCAAAATAGCTCAATATCATATTTCATTGATTATATTTTACTCATCGTTAGTCTAAAATTGTGTTTATAGGACAACATATTTCTACATATTTCATTCGAAATGTTATACAATTAGATGATTTTGAATATGAAAAAAAAAACCGAACTTTCGTATATAATTGTTGAATTAGATTGAATCATAATTAGAATTCTTTTAAAACGAAATGATTAGCTCATGAATCATTTTATGATCAAATTACAAAATAGAGAAAAAAAAACATTAGTTAATTTGCTAAGGATAGAACAAAATTTGTTGCCTTTATATTTCACTATTTGACAAACATCAGAGAATCTTCATATAAAAAATTCATTGAAGCCATAAAATAATCCAATTTTTTTCGTACTGAACCATAAATTAATTTTCTTCCCGTAAATAACTATGATCGATCAACCATTGACGAAAAATTTTTATTTTTTCATGTTGATAGAATTTTCAAAATAAGTAAATCAACGAAGAGTTTTGGATTTTTCAAGGATAAACTTAAATCACGAAGAAAAATTAATTTTATTGGATAATGATATCCTATTGAATAAAATCCTCTTCTTGAAAATCAGTTATATAAATACGTATAATTCGCTCTTGCAATAATTTACATGTCAATGAATCGTTGAATACAGTATTTAAACAACGAAAATTGATGTTTAAATATTCAAGATTTCGAGCAGCTTGAACTAGATGAAATATTTTACATGTTTCTTTCATATAGAGACGCTTCAATTTAGATAAATATAAGACGATCGATTGTAGTGATTGAGAAGTAACTATATACGAAAAAAGAAAAAGAATATAGTCATTATTCAAGAAAAATAAAAATGATTTATAAAAAAAATTAACTTCTTAAGAATCGAAGGAGAAAAATTATTCATTCGAAGGAATTAATATGTAGAAAATTTAAAAATAATAACATCTTTTTCTTTTTTATTTGTTTTTGATCGGATAATTATCATATCTGCATCTCAAATTGAAGTTTTTGAGACGTCATTTTATACCATAGATCGTAATCAATATAAAGAACATTTTCAAACACAGTGAAGACTTCTATAAATTCGTCGACTTTTTTCTCGGTGATATAACATATTTCAATGTATTTTTTGTAAAGAAAACGGTTAATCTATTCTAATTTGAACTCTCGTAACAAACTTCTATAAAGAAACTATTTTTCTCCAACTTCAAAATTATTAAAATCTTCAATGAACTCGTATTTCTTTAGATTTTTCACTGACACATTGACTTTTTAGAGTCCACTGTTATTTAGAATCATGTCTAATTCGTAACATTTACATTTCAAGTTTTCATTTCAGATTGTTTCTCTAAACGCCTAAATGTTCTACAGTCTATCTATTCTTATTAATACTCGAACAACGAAGGATTCAAAAAATTTTCATCATCTGACTATCCTTATAGGAAACAATGTTATTCTAAGAAACCATGGACGTTTTTACTCTATCAAAAAACAAAAACACTAAATTGCTAATGAAGTTTCCAGACGATGAAGCAGAATTGCATGAGAAGCGAGTAAGTTTTTTTAAAAAGGATGTCAGAATCTAAGATGAAGATCTACGAAAAATATACAATCGAGTCACTGATCCTAAAAAACATAATAATTGTTTAAGAGTTGCAACAGTATACCAATTACAAAACTATTCTATTTTCCCCGTACATACTACAACTAAAAAACTTGTGACAATACTTCACACAAATGTATTCTTCTATATCTATTCAATAATAATTGATATTATTTTCTTTGTGCATTTTGAGTCAATTGGATAATTCATTGTATTTTATATTTCTTTACAATGTCTAAAAGTTATTGTTCCATTCAAAATCTAAATTTTCTGTAGAAAAATATCCTATGAAAAGTAACATATCGGGTGTCCCAGGAATAATGAGCCTCCCAGTATTTTTAAGATTTCCTGTCTATTATCACTGTAAGTAAAGCTCTCATTATTATCAAAAGATAGCGCTTAAAATTCTCTACAAAACCA